GCATATCGTTACTCACTGGTTTCAACGGTTACTCTGGTTCCTCTTCCAAAGGTTATCTTACGTCCTCCAGTATTCACACAGCATGAAGCTCCATGACACAAACTCCATTTAACATTTCTGTGTTCTGCAGTAATTATCTCAGTAAACATAAATAGACTACTTTGTCCACGGAAAAAATAAATGTTATTAAGATTAAAGATGTGAATTATTTTCTACTTTTTTCTGATTTTATGTGAATGTTATCCTTTTTTTAGTTCACTACACTTTTGGTTTTGTATGCGTTCCAGTAAACAGTTGTATTTAATATGCTCCAAATAAATAATACTTATAATTTATATCAGTACTCACTGGTTTCAACGGTTAGTCTGGTTCCTCTTCCAAAGACTATCTTTCTTCCACCTCCATCATTCACACAGCATGAAGCTCCATGACACTAACTGAACCAAACTGGATTCAACATGAGAGACTTCTGATTATTAATATATATTATAAATACATGTTACCGTATTGATGTGTTTATTTATAATGCTATAGACGGTCTTTCTGCTCATTAAAACGTTTTCAAATCTTTGGGTTTCTTGAATTATTTTAGATTGTTTAGGGTTTTATTAGTTCCTGACATTTCATAGATACTCGTTAACAAATTGCATTACAGCAAAACTACAAGTTATTTTTAATTTATGCATAATATATATCGTTACTTACTGGTTTCAACGGTTAGTCTGCTTCCTCCTCCAAAGATGATCTTATTCACACCTTTAGTCACACAGCATGAAGCTCCATGACACAAACTGAACCAACTCCACTCAGAGAAACATGGATTTTAAAACAGAGTCTTCTGTCAAGTTAAAAAAGTCTTAACAATCCCGTAAAACAAATTAATGATAACTATATAAAATGCTATATAGTAAAACAAAATGATGGTTGTTAATTGTTATTGTCATGTTGTTAAATCTGAGATATTTATGGCTTCGTCATAAATGCAGTTTGTTATGTTATAAAGATACTATATCAAAATGAAGGTATATCATGAATAATATCTATATTCTTATATTTACTGTACACCTCTCTGAACCAAAGTCCATTCAGAAAAACATGGATTTACCTTTAGAGACTTCTGATTATTAATATGTATTATATATGAAATGTTAAGTAATGGATTTATTACATGTTAACGATCTAGAGAAACTTTGTGCTCTTTAAAACGTTTTCAAATCTTCGTTTGTTTTTACATATTTTTCATTTTTTGGGGTTTTATTAGCTCCTGACATTTTTCAAGTTGCAGTACAGAAAACTACAAGTTCCTTTTAATGTATTCAAGATGTATATAAGTACTCACTGGTTTCAACGGTTAGTCTGGTTCCTCTTCCAAAGAACATCTTATTTACACCTCCAGCATTCACACAGCATGAAGCTCCATGACACAAACCCCCTGAACTAAACCTTTCATAAATCGGCCGATATTATTAATCAAAAATATAAAAATCCCGACTAAATGAAATCAGGAACAAATTCTAAACTTAAAGTTACAATTAACAATTAAGTGGTTTTAAAGTTGAGGATCAGAAAGACAATAAAGTGATTTATATTGAGAGATAAAAGTAAAAAATCACCAAAATACAAATATGAAAGTTAAGGTGGGATAATTATTTTTAGTATATTTAAAATGTTTCCAGATTACCTGCGTGGACCACCAGCTGAGTTCGCCCCCCGAATATCACTTTGTCCGTTCCACTCGTCACACTGTGTCGGAGGTCTGACTGAAAACCCCCCGCACCGTCTCCCCAAAATAAACCTTGTCTATTTGATATTTTATTAGTATATAAACTCAAAGAAGCTGGTAAAATAATTTAATCTACATTTTCTGTGATTTTTTTAACACAAATCTAAAAACTATTATCATGCTTTTTAAAAACATACAGGTACATATTTGTATTCATTAATTCATTGTTATTATTATTTAAAGTTTTTTTGTTTGAGCTTCCATATATGTTTAAATGTTGTATTCCTTTGGCTATTTGTTTTGTTTTGTAAATTGTTTTTTTGATTACATTTTCAATTTTTTCAAACACTCATTTGTTTGTGACTGCAGATTATTATAAAGAATTTGTGCAAAAATGTTCACCGTTATTTATTTAAGAGCACGTTGATCCTGTTCTCACTTTAGATTTTACTTTTGTATAGTCATGTTAAAGGTTAGAAACATGTTTTTCTATATTTTAGGTTTATTGCTGTATTTTGTTTTCATTCAGAGTAAAAAAAAGAAATGTTTCAAGTTGAATTCATTCTTTTTGGACTATTTTTTTTAATGAAACACAAAACTGATCAAATAAGGATTTTTTTTTTTTTTTTTTTTAATAGTTGAATTATTTTAGTCCAATCTTTAAATAATATCATTATATGTCTCCAGGTTACCTGAGTCCACTACGAGCCGAGCTCCTCTCCGAAAATCATTTTCTCCGTAGTTCCTCTCGCACCGTGACTGACGGCTGTACAAAAACCAGCCGCTTCAAAAAGTCTTAATTCTACTTTAATATTAATTTGCTTGTCAGATTTGTCAAAAGTTTTGTCGCAGAATTAAATTCAGAATATTTTTAGAATAAAATGTAAAATAATTGACGCCATCAAATTAAATATCAAGGTTTTTTCTTTTTTTGGAAAATGTTTTTAAACAGATTCATATTTTTCTGATGATTTTCGAAATAAAGCCTCTGATCATTCACACTGTGACAAAAACTGCTGCATCATCGTTCTATAAATATAATATAAATATTTACTTAATCAGACGCTCGTTTTGTTTCAAATTATACATTCATCCCCTTTTTCTGTGTTTTTTACAAACAGGTATTTTAGTTTTTATTCTTCAAGATTCATTATACCTCTGCAAAGAAAGTAGCTTTAGTCGTTTAGAGAATATTAAAATATAAAAAGTCCAATATTTTATGTCCGATACACTGAGAAAAGGTTGACTTTAATTAAAAGTATTCTGTAAACAGATAATAGTATTAGGTTAGTTGAACTTCATGTTTTATTTCAATTTAATGAGTGGTTTCAACGAACCTAATCCAATGATGTGTAATCTTTTGGCGTAATACATTTAATTAAAGTCAACATTTCGATTGTTTTTGTGTTTGTTTGTTTTTACACACGGTTTGTTCTCATGTTTTATTTGAGATGAACACTCACCCACATCCCGTCCACGGTTCAGGATACTCCTCAAGCCCAGGACCGTCCTAAAGAGGCGTTCATTAACTCCTAAACACAACTACAAACCTCCTCCTGAAGACTGAAGTCTGTCTGTAGTTTCTCAGCAGATTACTTCCTGTAGGAGGCTGTTATAACTCCGTGTTGGAGGGTTTGATAACTTCCTGTTGGAGGGTTTGATATCTTCCTGTTGGAGGGTTTGATGGTGGGAAGGGGTCGGTTTGGACTTGGCCCAAAATACAAATTTGAGAACCTTTTTAGTTGTGGCTTGTCAGCGTGTAGACGGCACCATCTTGTGTCCGTCTCGTGAACTCTCTCAAGTCAACATGTTGTCTGCTCATGTTCAGGTTCATATTAGTATTTAGTGTCTCTACTGTGACATGTTTATGTGGTCAGCTGTTTGGATTTGAAAAAAACTGCTCTTCATCTCAGAAGTCTCAGAGGTTGAATGTGTGTCACTTTGAGAGGAGAAGCTGTACTGTTCGAGGTGTCCACTCGATAGCGATGTTGTTAAAAAAAAAAGAGCATCTGAAGGTGTGAATGTTCAGGGAGAAGCTGCAGAGGTTTTTGTACAGCGTTGTGGTGTTTCCTGTCACTGTGGGCCTCACAGCACAGTAGTACACAGCAGAGTCTGTCACTGCAGCAGAGGAGATGCTCAGATTGATTTGGTTTGACTCCACTTTAATCTCCATTCCAGGTTTTCCTACACTGTCTGAAACAGATGAGATGAGGAACTCTGGTGGTTTTCCAGGATATTGTCGATACCAGAAGAAATAATCCCCAAAGCTAACGCCTTTATCAGCTTTGTAGGACAGAGTAACAGTGCTGCCTTCTGAACTGAACTCTTCTTTCTGTAATGCAATGAGATCTTCACAGCTGACGCCTAAAATAAAAAAAACGTTTTATTTTATGTTACGCAAGCCTGAAGAAATAAATCACATCAAACATGTGACTAAATAAATTCAATAAAAATTGAACATACCTGTTAAAATGATAAGAAACATCAGTGATGACGGCATGTTGAATGAAGGTGATGATGATGATGGTCTGTGTTGAACTCTGGTGAATATGGAAGTTCCTCTCTCTTCTATAGTTCAGGAACATCTTAGCTCCTCCCTGAATCTCTCTGTCTCCTCTTAGATCTGTATTTCACTTCTCTCAGTTACACTTCCTCCTGGATAACAGATCCAAAGGCAGTCTGTAAATAAAAAGGCAGAGGACCTAGGATTGAACCCTGTGGTACACACTCGCTAACAACATGGGACAACATGGCAGAGAGCAGCACTCTCTGGAGGATGTGTTTGAGTTTGTGCTGAGTACAGGGTGGAAGTTCTTCCTCTGGTTCTAGATAGACCGAATATATTAATGACCCTGGTACTCTAAACTCCTTCAGTTCTTCCCACAACACTCAGAGAATATGATCATAAACCTTCTGCAAGTCCGCAACACACATGCAGATCCTGTGAGATAAATGTGATTTATTATAAAAGAATACTTATATTTTAATATAGAAAACCCTATGGATAAGAGATTCAGATAAACATATAAATATGTATTGCAGAGATAGAGAATGAACCAGCAGTGAAGAGAAAGGAAGCATCTGCTGGTGGTTGAGTTGTTTGAACGTTAGTTGTCTTATCTCCTAAAGCAGGGGTGCCCAATACGTCGATCGCGATCGACCGGTCGATTGCAAACGTAGTGTGGGTAGATCGCATGGCATTGAAAAAGAAAAGAAGAAAAAAATCATCCATCCTTACTATGGCATTTGCCACTTGATTGACGTACAGGTAAGCCAGTTTGAGTTGTATTGTGCCATACGGGTTCATGCAGTTATTAGGGGGCCTCACCTCCTCATCTGAAGCACAAATGCGGCACACTATTATGCGCTTATGCGCCGCAGTTTATCCGCCGTTTAGTCCACTAGCACCCCCCTGCTTCAGGTTGCAGCACGTTGTCTCTTTGGGCTCTGCATTCTGTAAAACAGCAACAAACAGTATCAGGGCCATGTTAGAGAATCATCTCAATGTTAGACTGATATCAAAGAGTTCATACCAAGACTCATAGCAGCCAGCAACACTGAGATAATCAGATGCATCATATCTGCAGGTTGAGAAACTCTGAGCTACAGCGAGTATAAAGAGGACTGATAAACTCTGCTGAAGTCTGACAGAGAGAGACTCCCTCTGGTGGATGCTGTGCAGTACTGTGTTGTCTTTGCTCCAAAGGTTTTTGTACAGAGTTGTGGTGTTTCCTGTCACTGTGGGCCTCAGAGCACAGTAGTACACAGCAGAGTCTGTCACTGCAGCAGAGGAGATCTGCAGAGGAACTGATTTATTGTTGAATGTAGCATCAAATCTGTCTTTCTTGAACTCTTCAGCATTCTCTCCAGTTCCTGTCCAACGCATCAGCATGTACTTTGGGTAACCATTGACTTCTTGTTTGTACCAGAACAGATAGGCTGTATAAGAGGTCTGAAATGTGCAGCCAAGTGTAACTGTGTCTCCTTCAGTAGCGCTGACATCTCCTGCTGGCTGGGTCACTGTGTCTTGTCCTTTACACTCTGGGGAAGAAGAGACCATGCAGAGGAAGAGATGAATCAATAAAGATGATGGATTAAAGGAGAACAATCAGTAGCTTTAAACAGTTACCTAGAAACATGTTGTAGTTTCTATCTTACCAAAGGAGAGAGCAGCAAGAATAATCCACAGCCAATGTTCCATCTCTACAACAAGGTTTAAATCAGCAGCAGGAAGTAGCTGATGTTCAGCATTCAGTGTGAGGATGGTTCTCTTCACAGCAGCACTTATTATTGACTGGATGGTTGAACACAGTGCAGAAGACGTGCACCGCCTACTTGATAATGTGGCCCTCTAGTGGAGGTGAACAGCTCAGTACAACAGTGTGGAGAAAAGGCTTCCAGCAGCTTGTCAGTGTGTCAGCTGGTGTTTGTGTACAGAGTGTTGGTGTTTCCTGTCACTGTGGGCCTCACAGCACAGTAGAACACAGCAGAGTCTGTCACTGCAGCAGAGGAGATGCTCAGATTGATTTGGTTTGACTCCACTGTAATATTCAGTCCAGGGATTGGATTTTAAATTTTTCCTCCATTTCCTAAATGAGAGATGATGTCCGGCAGTGGCACATTCAGTAGGGGCTTGGATTGTGAGCCGTAGGGTTGCCGGTTCAAGTCCCCAAACAGACCTAAATATGGAGTGTGGGCTGCTACTTGGAGAGGTCACAATTCACCTCCTGCCCTGCCGTGGTGCCCTTGAGCAAGGCACCGGACAACCCCCTTCCTCCCCCACTCCCATTCCCCGGGCGCTGTACAATAGCTGCCCACTGCTCCTGGTACTAGACTCCTGGTACTAGGATGGGTTAAATGCAGAGGCCAAATGTCACTGTGTGTGCTGTGTGCTCTGCATGTGTGACCCTTAAAGAGGGGTTTCAAAAGTGCTTTTACACGCGCATAAAATGACCCTGGCGCGCAGATTAAACCCTGCGAGCGGCTAAGAGACAGCCCTCTTGCTCGCTCGCGGGGGTGTCAGCCTCCCTCGCTCGCGGCGTCTGTCTGCGGGCGCGTGAAAAGTTTCTGACACTTTGGGGCGGAGCCACGGGACTTTGATTGACAGCTGCCAGGAAGCCCGGAGTTGCCAGGTTTGATCATTGCCTGAACTTCCAAGAGCAGTTACAGCAGCAAGATAAGTTGGACGAGATTTAATGATAAAGTTGTCCATAAAAAACTATTACAAGACACAAGAGTGCATTGACGTAGACACGTTGTGCCTCTTCACCTACATTTGAGCTCTTACTCTTTCACTTAAATCCTAAAAATGTAGATCTTATATTTAAAACTAAGGTTATTACTACTTCTCATTCTTCTAAATCTATTCTCTCTCTACTTCTCATACTCTCTACTCCTGTAATATATTTATTCTATTTTCTTTTTATCCAAAACCTTTCCCCTCTCTGACCTCTCGAGGTTCTATTCGAGGGTAACAGGTTACAGAGAGGCCTATTCCGGCCGGGGAGTGTTTAGACCGTATTCACAGCGTACCTCCTTACCTCTCACAAATTCCAATTAAGGTTCCAGTGGGGACCTTGCTCCCTGTGTGTGCCTCTCCACCTCTGTTCCTTACTTCTTACTTGCTACCCCTTATCCCTCAACCTATCCTAAGGGAGTCCATGTACGTAGACACGTTAGTTTAGCTGCTATAGGCTTGGACTGTCGGGGGACACCTTATTTCTTCCTTCTGTCTGTCTGTACCTGTGTACTCTCATGTTCCGATTAACCCAGCTTCCCCCAACATTTCTTTTTTGTGTCTATATCTACGCCGGGATCCTGAGTCGAGGCTGATCCTGTTGCTGTGGTCCTGTGTCCTGGATCCTCTATCCTGAGTTCTGGATTTGAGTCCTGGACTTCGAGTCGTGGCTGAACCTGTCTCTGTGGTCCTGCCTAGGTCTCGTCATACTACTTCCCTGATGGCTCCCACAGGATTGTTGACATCCTCGTGGATTCATCTTATTATTATAGACACATGCATTTCCAAACATTCGGTCTACCTATGCTGTAAATGTATTCTCTTCGATTTACACACGGCATCTATTGCACGTCTGTCCGTCCTGGGAGAGGGATCCCTCCTCTGTTGCTCTCCCTGAGGTTTCTCCCATTTTCCCCCTATAAACTGTGGGTTTTCTCTGGAAGTGTTTCCTTGTACGATGTGAGGGTCTAAGGACAGAGGGTCTAAGGACAGAGGGTGTCGTATTGTCATACTGATATTCTGTACAAACTGTGAAGTCCACTGAGACAAATGTAACATTTGTGATATTGGGCTATATAAATAAACATTGATTGATTGATTGATATTATATTCGTAAAGTGTATAGCTAATATATATATTTCAATTCGTTTGATATGAAACAATATATTTTTGAGTGGGCTGTATCTGTCGAAAACGGCTAGCTACTGTCTGCTGAAGAAAATGAATGTCCACAGTGTTAACCTGTAGAAAACAAGTTAACCTCGAGGCCGTTTTATGATGACCCTGTCAGTGTGCTGTTGAGTTAGCTATTTAGCTAGCAAACATTAGCTGGGTGATTCTCTGAATCGGGTGCCGATTTTAAATGAAAGGAAAAAAAAGGTTTAAAGCAATGAATTCATACACAAACAGGGTGCTTTGCATCACAATGTAAAACTAAATATATATATATATAGATATATATTTAGTTTTAAGATCATTGGTTGTTTGTAGTAGACAACAAACATATTTGCATGTCCTCAGGTGTACCATAGAGAGTATCCTGACTGGCTACATCACGGCCTGGTACGGCAGCTGCACCGCCCTCAATCGTAAGGCTTTACAGAGGGTGTTGGAAACTGCACAGAACATCACCAGGACGGAGCTGCCATCCATGGAGGATCTTTACTCCCAGCGGCTCAGGAAGAAGGCCCTCAGGATTACAAAAGACCCCCATCACCCCAGCCACAAACTGATCTGTGTGCTGCCGTCTGGCAGGCGGTACCGCAGCATCAGGACAAAAACCACCAGACTCAGGGACAGTTTCATCCCACAGGCAATAAGACTGCTAAACACCTGAACTGTTGAAACAACATCTGTTAAACGCCTGAACTGTTGAAGCAACATCCATAACATTCATCTGGCTGCTACTTATAAACTATGCATCTAATATATCATATTCAATCACTTGCATATAGACTGTTATTGCACTATTCCACTCAAAATAGGATTCAAGTCTATTTTTCGACGCGAGGCGTTGCAGAGGCGCCGGGCAGGAAGTGGACCGGTCAGAGCATCCGGCCCATCCCCAAAATAAACTAAATTTGCAGATCCTATCCCTCCGTAGTCTTTCAAGTAGGAGGAAATGCCAGCGTTCTTCTCCGGTTTACAGGCACTGTGTAAATATATATATAGAATAATTATGATGATGAATGCATTTTTTTACCACTAAAATACAGCAACACATCTTTGATTCATGTCGTTTATAACTGGAATATTACAATTATTATTAACTTTGTCTGTACAAAGTAGCCTGTCCAGGAAATATGCCCAAATCAACAAAAACTGCGAGCCGGCAGACAAGACGCTCCGCTTCTGAAATGCTTCTGAAATGCTTCTGAAACGCGCCCGGTAGGGTATGACACCGGACCAAAACCGCGGCGCAGCCATGACGCGACGCAGACGGACCCGGTGGAATCGAGGGGTTAGATCTGTATTTCACTTCTCTCAGTTACACTTCCTCCTGGGTAACAGATCCAAAGGCAGTCTGTAAATAAAAAGTCAGAGGACCTATGATTGAACCCTGTGGGACGCCACAATTAATCACAGACCAACAGAGAATGTTATTGTCTACACAAAAGCAATCAAAACTTGAGTCTCTGATGTGTACCAGTTTATTGAGAGAGGTGATTTAAAGTGTTTGATCAGTCAGTAAAAAAAACGTAACAATGACGGGCGTTAACATGAAGTCAGATTAGTGAGAGGTGTTTCATCGAGAGAGAAATCTGTTTAAAATGATCTTAATCTAATAAGATTTTTTCTTCATACCCAACATTTAAAAGGTCTTGAACACCACAACACAAGCTGCTGTTACAATAAAACCTATGATCACATTGTGCTTAGTGATAAACCGAATCCAATGAGAAAGTGAGAGGACATATGATTGAACCCTGTGGTACACCACAAGAAATCACAGACTGACAGAAAAACTGAAAAACTTATATTTGTTGTTCTTGTGGAGACTACTTACTTGTATTTGTACCTGTGATAACAGGCCAGATTCACTGATTGAGTTACACGTTGGAACCTTTGGATGTGAATCAAAGGCAGTACATGTGTTTGTATGGTAGTATAGCAGCCAGCAACACTGTATGTTTAACAGAGAGAGGCTCCCCCTGGTGGATGCTGTGCAGTATGTGTTGTCTTTGCTCCAGAGGTTTTTGTACAGAGTGTGGTGTTTCCTGTCACTGTGGGCTTCAGAGCACAGTAGTACACAGCAGAGTCTGTCACTGCAGCAGAGGAGATCTGCAGAGGAACTGATTTGTCATTGAGTGTAGCATCAAATCTGTCTTTCTGAACTCTGCAGCATTATCTTCTGTTCCATAAGTATCACGTCGCAAAATAAACAAAAGCAGATCATTTGCTTCTTGTTTATACCAGAACAAATATGCACTCGAGCTAACACTGATAGAAATGTGCAGCCAAGTGTAACTGTGTCTCCTTCAGTAGCGCTGACATCTCCTGCTGGCTGGGTCACTGTGTCTTGTCCTTTACACTCTGGGGAAGAAGAGACCATGCAGAGGAAGAGATGAATCAATAAAGATGATGGATTAAAGGAGAACAATCAGTAGCTTTAAACAGTTACCTAGAAACATGTTGTAGTTTCTATCTTACCAAAGGAGAGAGCAGCAAGAATAATCCACAGCCAATGTTCCATCTCTACAACAAGGTTTAAATCAGCAGCAGGAAGTAGCTGATGTTCAGCATTCAGTGTGAGGATGGTTCTCTTCACAGCAGCACTTCTTATTGACTGGATGGTTGAACACAGTGCAGAAGACGTGCACCGCCTACTTGATAATGTGGCCCTCTAGTGGAGGTGAACAGCTCAGTACAACAGTGTGGAGAAAAGGCTTCCAGCAGCTTGTCAGTGTGTCAGCTGGTGTTTGTGTACAGAGTGTTGGTGTTTCCTGTCACTGTGGGCCTCACAGCACAGTAGAACACAGCAGAGTCTGTCACTGCAGCAGAGGAGATGCCTCAGATTGATTTGGTTTGACCCACTGTAATATTCAGTCCAGGGATCAGATTATTTATAATGTTTCCAGTTCCTAAATGAGAGATGATGAACTCTGGTGGTTTTTCCTGGATATTGTCGATACCAGTAAAACTCATCACCACCAGTTGCTTCTTTGGAGTATCTGTAGCGACAGAGTAACCAGAGCTGCCTTCTGGTCTGAACTCTTCTCCTGTAATGCCAGTGAGATCTTCACAGCTGACCCCCTGAAGAGAGGAGTAATTCAAAGACTCAGTTAATTGATCACATTTTATCAACATTAGAAATTAACGTTTTCAAGCAGAATGTTACGTACCTCTTAGAATGGAAACTAACAGTAGGGAATGTAAATAATAGTCCTAATGACAGC